GTTCCAACTTCCCGTCACCGCGTCCTTTTTTTTTTTTCGTTTGAAAATTGCAAATATATATTATTCAAGGTATCCGACTCCCGGAACCATAAATTTTAAAAAAAGCAATACATAGAAAATTTTTTCATATTTAGTTTACATGAAAATTGTTTTATATAAAAATTTTGAAAAAAAAAAATTATTTAAATAGAATATTACGGAAAAAAATTAACTTAGAATAACCTTTTTCAAAATGTTTCTTTTAAAAAAAATGCTTCTAAAATAATAATATTTTGTGTGTGTGTGTGCTTATAAATATGTGCTCCAGAGAGTCTGAACTTTTTTAAAATTTACATTATTTTCAGAGTTACCCCCAATTGAAATAATTCTGGGGGTTTTTTTTTTTAAAATTTTTTTCCCCTTTTTGTCAAAACAGGATAAACCCACTTCTAAGTTACATATTTAAAAATTTAGTTGAGCCTCTGTACAGAGGTCTGATTATAGGACAAAATATTTTATAATGAAACCTTTTTCAAAAAAGGAGAATTTTTTTGGGGTATTTTTTATTTTTAAAAAATTTTTTACTTAATAATTTTTATTGAATACTATTTTAAAACTTTTTTCTTTTCTAATCTAAGTGACATAAATATAAAAATTTATCCAGTTATATTTTTTTGCAAAATCCAGTTCCCAAAGTATGGATACCTTAAAATGTTCAAAAATTTTTTTTTAAACTTGTTTTTTTTAAAATTGTTTTTAAAATTCATTGATTTCTTTGGGTAAAAAAAAAAACCTTTTTACCAAATTTCCATACATTTTCTTTCTAAAGATGAAATCGTTTATAGTCAACATCGATAGTCAACAACAAAAAGTCATTAGTCAACATCGATATTCTTCTAATGTTAGAATCCTAAAAGTGTTTATTTAATTAAATCCTATTGTTGTCAGGTGATGTAGGGTTAAAACTTCCAGTCTTTCCTTTTAAGGAAAACACTATACTTCTGGAAGTTGGTTTTATAGCTAAAAGCGACCGAAAGTTGAAGAAAATAAGGAAATTACTTCAGATTACCTGATTTTGAATGTTTAATCACGCATCACAAAAGTAATCTTCCTTTGAAGCGTCGGTGGTATAACGGTTAGCATAGAGCTGCTTCCCAAGCAGTTGACTTAGGTGCGACTCCCGGCCGATGTAGTTGCTCTTTTTAGTTTAAATTTAAAATTAAATTTTTGGCTTTTCTTTCTTTAAAATGCGTTTAAATAAATGCTATTTAAAGATTTATTTTTTTAAAAAGGTAAAGCCCCGGGTTTTTTCATCAAACTCACTTTTATTTTCCTTTTAAAGGTGAAATCATTCATGTTCATTTTCATGTGGCCAAAATACATGAGTGGTCTCGTAGATATAATTAGTCAATCGAGGGTTCAAATCCTAGTACAGTTAAGGACCTTCCATATAGATCCGCTGATACACGTTAATTCTGACGTAGGACAATCTTCGTATAGGTGTGATGTGGATATTCGGACTTTGGGTTGCTAACTCGAGTGTCATTTTTGTTACATGACCAGGATTTACTGTTGCGAGGTCGCTATTACTTTTCTTATTGCTTCAGATTATGAGGTAAACAAAATCAACACTTGTCTTCGTAAATACACTGATGGGGAAAAAATACTACCAAAAATAAATTTAGCTGTATAAACAAAATTTGTTAGCCAAATTCATATATCTGAAAGATGACTTTGATTCAAATTGCGTTAGGTGACTTTGAGTTCTTTGAGCCGTTGTAAAGTTCTTGAACGTTATCTGTCATTGAGATTTGACGTAATGAGTTGATGTTAGTCAAGATATCTTTAAGATAAAGAAATCATTATCAACAACTCACCGAGGTTGAACGAGATCATACAGTGGGACTAAGAAAAGGATTTGATTTTCTTTCCGTGATATTGCAGAAAGACTTGGTAGGAATGTGTCCTTTTGGTATGATTGTTAATAGCACCGCTGACAGAGAAGATCGCTGTATTCGCCGGAAGGATGCAGAGCGTCGTAATGCATCTACAGTAAAAACTGCAGCTTTTGTTGATACCATAGTGATACAGGTTATTGTATTGAATCGATTGTTTGAGGAATAGCACCGAGCCGGATGTCTTGAAGCTCTTATACCTTTAGCTCCAAACCACGGACATCTGCGACTTCAATAATGTTACGAAGGTTAGAGAGGTTATGTGTTTTGTTCTTCGATGAGGCTGTTCCTTTATTGGTGCCAACGAAAATCGTATCTTGATTAGAAAGGCAAGTCAGTGCCGGCAACTTTCTGTAGCTTCGACACATTGGACACGCATCTGAAATTATGGCTTGAGAAATTTCCTATGATAACAGGAGGACTCTTGTGGTTATTCCACCTCATCTTGACCAAACACTTGTACGTCAGCGTGGTGATTCAAACTTTTGAGGTGCCATTAATTAATAGCATTCAAGAGGATGCCCCCCCAACAAGGTAATGTGCACTTTCATACCAGCAGCTGTCTACTGAGTGCGTACCTGTTGCTTTGTGGTCTGTTAGATCATAAGATCTTTCTCCAATCGAGCACAGACATATCATTGGAAACGGCAATTCCAACGTCATCCACAACCCGAATCGAAAGCACCTACACTTACCGACCAGGTGCAATAGGCATGTTATTCCATGCTCGAAACTGACACACGATACCTGTACGACACATTGCATGTACGTTTGCATGCTTGTATTCAAAATTCTGGTGGTTACATCGGTTATTAATGAGCCATCATGTCACATTTGAAATAGCTTTTTCGCGCTTACCTGCGATCTTGAAACTTTTATCAAGCAAATATGTTACCTAACCAAATGTATTGCCAAGGTGTAATTAGCTCAAGGGTTAGAAGCTTATAGATATAGTGTTCCAAGCCAATGTACCAATATGATTCAGAATGACATACAGTAGGAAATGTTTAAAACAACTCTATTCCTGTGGCAATGCAATCCAGAATTAATGGAATAGAGGTCGAAAATACAGATAGAGGTATTATTTAATTATGCATCCTTTAAAGATATTTAGTAACATAAAAATAAGCAACATAAAGTATAACTAATCCTTCAACATAAGTAAAAAATTAAAATTGTGGATATGTTATGTATTCCTAACACACAAAAGAGAAGAGAATAATTATTAAGTATAAATATTCCTGCAATAAAGTGAAATAGAAAATTAAAATTTCAATGAAACCTTGCACCTGCAAAGCTTTGCTTCATATCACAGTATTAGGGATACAATTGCGACTTTCAAATTCACACATTATTCTGAATATTCAGCTGTTAAACAACTTCCTTCTAGTCTCAAAATATATTTCATATGAAAAAAAAATCATTCACATGTATATTGAACTAAAAGCGGAAAGCAGGGCATATGCGGTTTTCTTCAAACAGTTAAATCACTCCTGTCACGACGTTTAGCAATTTAAAAAATAGCTGTCGATTAATCATTAGAATTACCATCCAAATCTTTTTATAATTCCATAAATTTTGCGTTCAATAACTCCGAAGGTTTTTTTCACAATGTAGAAATGAGTGAAGCTTTATTTTACAAGTATAACACTATGGTTTTGATTTGAATTGAACACAGGGTGGTCCCGAATTCATGATGCAAACATTAAGGTATCCGACTACGTTCGGAACCGTGATTTTAAAAAAGCGCATAAATGGATAATTTTCATGATATTTAGTGTCACTTAGATTAGAATATTATAAAATTGTTTTGGACATTTTGACAAAAAGTTATTTAAATACAGTATTTCGAAAAAAATTAACTTAGAATAACCTTTTTACAAAAAGTTCTCCTTTTGTGAAAATTGCTTCTATTATAAAAATACTTTGCCTGTATGTAACTCAGACCTCTGTACAGAGACTCAACTATAATTTTTAAAAAATTCACATTATTGTCAGAGTTACAACCAATTGAAATAATTATCGGCGTTTATTTCTTAAATTTTCTCCCCTCTATTGTCGTAAAACATGGATAAACCCACTTCTAAGTTGTATATTTAAAAAATTCTAGTTGAGCCTCGGTAGGGAGGTCTTAGCTATACACAGGCAAAATATTATTATATAATAGAAGCATTTTTCACAAAAGGAGACTATTTTGAAAATCGGTCATTCTATGTTCATTTTTTGTCAAAATATTGTACTTAACTAATTTTTTATTGTAATACTATTCTTAAAACAATTTTATATACACTTTCTAATCTAAGTGACACTAAATATCATAAATATTATTCATTTACACGCTTTTGCAAAATCACGGTTCCGAATGTAGTTTGATATCTTAAGGGAAGATATAGGACATTATGCAACAATTACATATTGTATAGGAATGTATGGGTGCAAATGACGCATTGAGGCACAAACACAAAAATAAGAGACGAAAGGAAAGACAAAGTGTTTATTGAAAACGTCGTTGACAAGTGTAATTTTTACTATAACTGTTCATAATTCTTCAGCACATGAGCTATAAACTCCAACTGAAGCACATATTGCCGTACCATCTACTGGCAATCGGAAAAGAAAGTCTGCCAGATGCAAAGCTTCTGATCGCTGAAAATGGAAGAGATGTAAGCGATTAACACTGTACAAACGGTGTGATGACTCACACTTTTGTGATGAGCAACAGTTCTTGTACTTGACTTTAGTCTATTAACCACAACCTTTCAAGATGGTTTCTTCCAGGCTTGGGTTGCGTACAGCTCTCTGTCGACCGGTATCATGTCTGGTGACGTGGAATGAACGTGTTTCACGAAGTTGACGATGTAAACACTGAAACATTATGCGATCCTGCATTGTTCGATCAGGAAACTACACGTGATACACTCGTAGTGCAGCTGTGCCGTTATCATTTGCATCGCCGTACATGTAATGCATGTCTGTATTTTCGGCATACTTAAAGTCTCAGATCGTAGACAACAGCACAATTGTGAATGAAGCTTTCCCCTGCTTAGATGTATCATGTTTAACGGACATGTTTAACATCTACTGTGTCCTTTACCGGAAACGCAACCAACCACGATAACTCAATTTCTCTTTTCTTTTATTTCCCCTGTTTGTGCCTCACTAGGTTACTTGTGCCCATACATTCATATTTAAACTGCTATTTGTAAAAAATGCAACACCGAGAAGAATCATCAGCATTAAAGAAATTTATTTATTTGTATTAGTACAAATAAATGACAAAATTTTCAAAAAAAAAAACAGTATTAAGTGTTCGAAATTAGTATTTTGTGTAGCCACCACGCGCTGCAATAAGTGTTGCTATACGACGTGACGTGGAGTCAAACACATTTTGAATGTATGCTTGTGGAAGAAAATTCCATATTGCTTGCATTCGCTGCAAAAGTTTGTCTTTTGAAGCTGCAGGATGCAGATTACGAGCGAGACGCCGACCAACCAAATCCCACACGTGATCATTTGGCGACATATCCGGTGAATAAGCAGGCCAAGGAAGAAGCATGTGTTGGGCTAAACAGAAATCTCGAACAGTCTTTGCAACATGTGGGCATGCATTATCCAGCTGAAAGATAGCTACAGGGATGACTTGAAGGAAGGGAACGACTTCGGGCTGTAGCACTTCACGGAAGTACCTGTTGCTATTGAGATTAGCCTCAATTTGTAGCAAATTGGATCATCCATGATACGAAACCCCACCTCAAACTATAACTCTGAGTGTTAGGCCACTAGGTCGCTCGATAACGCACTCTGGAAGGCAGCATTCACCGACATAGCGTCTAACACGAATGCGGCCATCATGGCCCCACAAACTAAAGTGTGATTCATCTGAAAAGACAACTTGGTGCCAATCAGCTTGCTGGGCTCTGAGCTGATGAGCCCATTGCAGACACAGCCGTCGATAGTTTGCCGTGAGGGGGATTCTTTATAAAGGCACACATGAACGCAATCCACGGTACAGCAGACGTCGACGAATTGACGAAGCCGACATTAGTACAAATGTATCAGTAGACCAACGTGCTGCCAACTGCTTGGAGGAGGCTGTACGGTCATTCACTGCCATGCGGAGCAGGTGACTTCACCTTCCGTTGCCTACCGCTGCCAGTTTTTCAGATTGTTCGGTGATAGTCGGTCCACTGCTTCCAAACTCGCATCACCCCGTGCAATTGTTCCACTGCACACGAGC